ATACAACTTTACAGTTTACACCTAAAACGATTTTAATTTTACGTGAAAGAGTTTGTGTGGTACACATTTAGGTATGTATTAAATAAAAACTTTTATATACTTAATTACTTTTTGGGACGGATTAGAAACCAATTTTGGTTGCTTCTCAATTAATACAACTTTACAGTTTACACCTAAAACAATTTTAATTTTACGTGAAAGAGTTTGTGTGGTACACATTTAGGTATGTATTAAATCAAAACATTTATATACTTAATTACTTTTAAAGTGATGAATTTTAAATAACTTTCATAAACTTTATTCAAACTTTCATAGAATCTTTTAAATTTTAAGTTTGAGATCTATTAATTTTTTAGTTTAAATTGATAAATTATATTGATTTATCTTAAATTAGAGATGATGATTTCAATCCATCTTGCATATATCCACATCAATCCACCCTGCATGGATCAAATTTATTATTTTTTTTATGATAGTGGGTGGTAAATATTAAAAAATTAACTATGTCGTTGGTCGGGTTGCATTAGAGTTTTATGTACATAACCCACCTAGAACCTCACATGACCCATCCTGTGTGTGTATATTATATATATATATATATATATATATATATATATATATATATATATATATATATATTTATATATATATATATATATATATATATATATATATATAGTGATATATATATATATATATATATATATATATATATATATATATATATATAGAGAGAGAGAGAGAGAGAGAGAGAGAGAGGCGATCAAATGCAGTCATGTTGTTAGGTGTGGTCATATGGTCAATTACAGGCCATTAGATTAGATAGATCCAATAAATCACATTAATCAAGATTCTTTCAGTATTTTCGTGCACGTTCTCTTACCCAGCGAATTGCAAGGGTAAACTCGTCATAGGGCACCGGAATTAGGGAAATCACATTGTTGTGTGTTTTATTTGTGTAATTGGTGCATTATTAGCCTTACTCTGGTGTATTTGTAGATTCCCGTTGGTGCCAAGGTCAGGTGCGGTAATGCCTTCCTGTGTGGTCAGTGCGGCTGCACCAATTGTTATAAAAATATACACCATCCATGTTATGAAATGCACAGCAAAAAACATACACAAATTAGGTACGCATCACCAAAAACGCGCCATTAGATATGAATAAATACACCATACAATGTTCGGGAATACACTATTGGTGTGTTTCACTGTGGTGTGTTTTATTACACTATTGGTGAATGTTGTCAACACTGTTGGTGTATTCTGAAACCCGGCCGCTATAAATGGCCAGTGTAATTACCATAACACCCCTACTTACAAAAACGCGTGAAAATCCTCAAATCCTCAGAATTAGCCACTGTCGTTAGATTAAACTGATTCAACGACACAGATACGACCACACCGCCACACCAAATGACATGACCACATATGAGCCCTCTTCTATATATATATATATATATATATATATATATATATATATATATATATATATATATATATATGGACGCACTCAGGTGCGAATAAGTGCCCAGGAAGGAAATGCGAACGAATCAGCGCGCGACACGTGTCCAGATCTAATAACTTAAAAAAAAACGCGGTGGCATTTTCGTAAATAATTGAACATCGAAGTGCAAGTAAAATATCTTATAAGTGCACCTATTTTCACCTATAAGTGCATGTAATTTTGCCTTGTTAGCATTCACTTTCCGCAACCATTCATGCACCTGGGTGTGCTTATAACTATATGTGCAACTATTTATAACTATAGGTGCAACTACTTATAACTATAGGTGCACCTACTTTCACCTATAAGTGCATGTAATTTTGCCTTGTTAACATTCATTGATCTGAGTTCAGCGGGTAGTAATACTCCTGAAAATCACTCGCAAACATTCATACACCTAGATGCAACTACTTATACCTATGTGTGCAACTACTTAGAACTATAGGTGCAACTACTTAGAACTATAAGTGCAACTAAGTATTGATGCTTAGTGTAAATTTTTACTTGCACCTATAATACATTTTGCATGCACTTGTAATACATTTTACTTGCACTTCGATGTTCAATTATTTACGAAAATGCCACCACATTTTTTTTAAAAATCAGTGTTTCTCATCCATTAGATCTGGACACGTGGACGAACAGAATCCATTCCTATTTCGCGCCTGGGCGAGCCGTTCGCACCCGAGTGCAAGTCTATATATATATATATATATATATATATATATATATATATATATATATATATATATATATATATATATATATATATATATATATATATATATATATATATATATATATATATATATAGGGAAGGGATCAGGTGCATTTGTGGCTTCCCGTGCGGTTGTGCGGTAGATTAATGTGCGTGAGTCGCGTGCTTAATGTGCCCGAGATTTGTACTTAATATGTGTGAGTGTGTAATTTTAATGTACATGAGTTTTGTACTTAATGTGCCTGAGTATTGTGTTTAATGTGCGTGAAGTTTGTGCTTAATGTGCGTGACTTGAGTTCAGAATTACGAGCTCAGAAGGAAGAAGAACAGAAAGAGAAGGTGGGTGAAACTTTTCTGATTGTGTGTGAATGGATGGATATATGTAAACGTACATATGGCTGTTCTTTTTATGTTAAAAATAAGACAAATCCATTCCTCCACCACTTCGAAACAAAAAACACGAAAAAAATGCAGCAGTGGATGCACATAATTTTCACAGCAGTGGATGAAGAACATACTCACGCACATTAAGCACACAACTCACGCATCTTAGGCACAAGACTCACACACCTTAAGTACAAAACTCATGCACATTAACATTACACACCCACGCACATTAAGTACAAATCTCAGGCACATTAAGCACAATACTCACGCATATTGAGTACAAACCTCACGCACATTAATCAACCGCACAACCGCACGGGAAGCATTCAACCGCACGGGAACCTTACACTATATATATATATATATATATATATATATATATATATATATATATATATATATATATATATATAATATGTTCAGGTGCGGTGGGCAGCCCCAGATGCGGTTGTGCAGTTAAAACAGAGCCATTGATTCTACTTAAATCAACGTTCAAGATTACCAAATTAAAAAAAAAAAAAAAAAAAAAAAAAACACGGTGGCAATTTTTAATTTTTGTATCTAGGTCAAAATTAAGGTGAGTGGTTTTGTGATTAAGCTGCATGAGTTTTGTATATAATAAGGTGCGTGAGTGTTGTACGTAAGGTGCGTGAGTTTTGTGCTTAAGGTGCGTGGCTTTTGTACTTAATGGTAGTAGTTGTTGAAACTTAAGGTGCGTGAGTTTTGTGCTTAAGGTGCATGGATTTTGTGCTTAAGGTGCGTGAGTTTTGTACTTAATGTGCGTGAATTTTTTTGCTTAATGGGAGTAGTTGCTGAAACTTAGGTGCATGAATTTCCTTCTTAATGTGCGTTATTTTCATACTTAAGGTGCGTGATTTGTATGTTTAAGGTGCGTCAGTTGTGTAAAACTTAAAGCGAACCATTTTTAAAACCTTAGGTGCGTGGTTTGTGTTCTTAAGCTGCTTTGTTATGTGCTTATGGTGCGTGGTTTGTGTTTTTAAAGTGCATGATTTGTGTTTCTTAAAGTGTTTTGTTTGTGTGCTTAATGTGCGTCCAACCGCACGGAAAACTATTCCCGCATCTGATCCCTTCCATATATATATATATATATATATATATATATATATATATAGAGAGAGAGAGAGAGAGAGAGAGAGAGAGAGAGGTGATCACATGTGGCCATATTGTTAGGTGTGGTCATATGGTCGATTACAGGCATTAGATTAGATAAATCCAATGAATCACATTAATCAAGATTCTTTAAGTATTTTCGCGCACATTCTCCTACCCAGCGAACTGCAAGGGTAAACTCATCATAAGGCACCGGAATAGGGAAAATCACATTGTTGTGTGTTTTATTTATGCAATTGGTGCATTATTAGCATTTTACTCTGGTGTATTTGTAGATTCCCATTAGTGCCAAGTTCAGGTGCGGCAACGCCTTCCCGTGTGGTTAGTGCGGCCGCACTAATTGTTATACAAATATACACAATCCATGTTATGAAATGCACAACAAAAAACATACACAAATTAGGTACCATTCACCAAAAACGCGCCATTAGATATGAATAAATACACCATACAGTGTTTGGGAATACACTATTGGTGTGTTTCACTGTGGTGTGTTTTATTACACTATTGGTGCATGTTGTCAACAATGTTGGTGTATTCTGGAACTCGATCGCTATAAATGGCCACTGTAATTACCATAACACCCCCACGCGCGAAAATCCTCAAATCCTCAGTATTAGCTACTGCTGTTAGATTAAACTGATTCAACGACACAGATACGATCACACCGCCACACCTAATGACATGACCACATATCAGCGCTCTTCTCTCTCTCTCTCTCTCTCTCTCTCTCTCTCTATATATATATATATATATATATATATATATATATATATATATATATATATATATGTCAGTTTTTGTTTTAGATTTATAGGTGATAGTCCACTTTTACTTCTTCTTTTCCAGAACATTCATCCCCCTTTAGTCCTAGTATTATTCTGACATGATCATTTTTTGTCTTCCATCAATAAAATCATTGAAATGTCATTAAATACAATGACATTTTAATCTTTTTTTATACAAATTAAAGTAAATTGACCCACTATATTTTTATTTTACCAAAATAGGACCACAAAATTGTCATCCTTATCTAAATTCTTTATTTAAAAAAAAAAAATGTAATTTTGGGACCGCCTGACCGATCTCATCCCAATATAAAATTTTATTTATATTGAATTATTAAATTATAGCATCGACGTTGAAATGCGCGCCAAATTGACATCCAATCATCTTTGGCCTTGTTCACCCAGCCATCACGCCACGTCACTATGCATCCCGTGCAAGCTAAAGATGATCTATTTCAATTGCTCTCTACCTATACCGACGCGTATGTATATATATACGACTACGAATACGATTCTCGTTTCATATACAATACATTTGATTTGACAATTAGAGCAAGGCAATGGACCTCCCGGAGGTGACGTCACGAAGTTCCGATGACACGGCGGTGGAAGATGAAAATCGCGACGACATGCAGCTCATCCACCGCCGCATGCGGCGGCTGTCATTGCACCTCAACCCGGCGCTTTTCCCGGACTTTCCGGATCGCGGCCTGGAGATGTTAATGTGCGCGGGGAAGGGGAAGGGGAAGGCGAAGGTGTTGAAGGTGAGGACGGATATGTTGTTGCAGTACATGAAAGGGAGGCACCGAGACATCCAAGATAAGGTGTACGAGTTCTTCAAATCCAGGCCGGATTTGCAGACGCCTATCGAGATCTCCAAGGATGAGCACAGGGAATTGTGCATGAGGCAGCTTAGGGGCCTGGTCCATGAGGCAGGGATAAGGCCCTTCAGATACGTGGTCGACGACCCTGTTAAGTATTTCGCTATTGCGGAGGCTGCAGGTAGCGTTGATATGTCTTTAGGTATCAAGCTGGGTGTTCAGTACAGGTGATTTCTGTTCCCTCTTAATAAATGCCACAAATCTTTTTCATTTTTACTACTTTATCTATATAATTTGATTATTTGATGGGGGAGTCATTATGTGCCGAATTTGATAGCGTGTTAAGGAATGGTGTTGATTGATATTGCTTTGTTTGTGTTTGATGAAATCTAAAAGAGTAAATCTTGGTGATAAACAGGCTCCAATTATGTGCTTCTACTAAATTGATATTGATGTCCGTGAATCTGGATCATTGACCCTTAGGCAGAAGTTTACTTCAAACTGTAATTGATCTTGAAGTTGTACTGAGTTTTCATCTTTTATTTCTTAAGCTAAAGTCCTTAACATGACTATTTTCCCTGCAGTCTTTGGGGAGGCTCTGTTCTCAATTTGGGAACTAAGAAACACAGAGACAAGTACTTTGAAGGCATAGACAACCTGGAATACACCGGTTGCTTTGCAATGACTGAGCTTCATCATGGTATACTTGCCTTCTTGACTAGTTATCTGCTTTACAAAATGTTAAGGCCCTGCTTAGTAAACAGAAAATGTTTTCCATTTTCTATTGGAAAACTTGGAAATATGTTCAAATTCAACTAATTTTCAACTTATAAAATACTCAGTTACTTAACTCGAAATATTTTATATAAAATATAAGTATAAAGTATAAATATGATTGGTAAGTAACGAGGTGTATTGTGTAGTAAGGCTGTAAGTAGATCGGAGAAGGGATTGGTAGATACGGGTAAGGATAGGCAAATAGTGGTGGCCTGGCGGGGTGAAGTAAGCTACACTAGTAATAAGAATAGTAGTGTTAATGGTAGGTATGTCAATGACAGATGTCTAGTGGATCGTAATAAAACTAGATAGTTAGGTTTGGGGTACATATATAAGGGTGGTATGTGTATGTAAGCACGCAATAGTGGGTGGAAAGAAGCGAATAGGTGATAGTAGGTATGTAAATCAGTGGTGGTAGTGGACCAGTGGTGTAAGTAGGTATAGATAGCAGTAGATAGGTGGGGTAGAAGTTTATATAACTGATTCTAGGGAGTGCTTATAAGTTATAACATACAACACACAAGTAAATCAATGTTAGAAAAATGATCTTGTAAAGTCTGAAGTTATTTAAATTTAAAAGCTTTATCTTGCCATTCACCTATGTACTTTAATTTGCTGCTCGATCTACCATGTGATGCTCGGCAGTTTTTAGCTTCTGAACAAAGTCATACTCCTTACATTTGCCTCTGTAATTCTCGAACGGTGTTTTAATAAAACTTCCTTTTATTAAAAAAACAAATCTCACATTTTTGTCCTTTCCATAAAATTTTATTATTACCTTTTTGTCACAGACTGACAGCATCTTCAATATTTCAAGCCAGAGAAGTTCATCTTTCATATGCAGTTACTCACATATGCATGTTTATATATATAAACACATGCATATATGTCATCCAGGGAAATCCCTTGAAAGCAGATTCTTGCAATAGTCAGTCTTCTATGGATTCCTTAAGTGCTAGAACAAAAGTCTGGAGTTCAAAAAAGGATTTTTTTTTTTTTTTTAATATATGTTTCAGAGACTGAAGCTGTGTGAGTAATAAGACACATTTTGACACTTCTGATGCTAATTGCTATTATAAGTTGCTATTCCATTTCCACCTTTACAGCATTTCCATATGCTTCTTTCTTCCATTTATTGGAACTTGTTTGACAAGCTTATTTTATATAATGTTGGTATTTCTGGAATAGTTTCTTAAAGCTAATGCATGAGTGGAAATCTCATCTTTGAGCAGATTTTAAGTATGCACTTGAGTCTTGGAGGTTTAAAGATTCCACATTAGGTTTAATCACTTTGGAACATATATGGGAGATTATATTAGTATATTTTACCAAGGCATATCATAACTCCATTTTGTTCCCTTATGAATATGTCTTGCCTCTAATATATCGTAATGTGTTCACTGAAGGTTCCAATGTTCAAGGCCTTCAAACTGTTGCCACCTTTGATCCACTTAAGGGTGAATTTATTATAGACACACCTAATGATGGGGCCATTAAATGGTGGATTGGTAATGCTGCTGTCCATGGTAAATTTGCAACAGTTTTTGCAAGATTGTTGCTACCAACTCATGATTCAAAAGGTGTTTCCGACATGGGTGTTCATGCTTTCATTGTTCCAATAAGGGATCTAAAGACACACAAAACTCTACCAGGAGTAGAAATACATGACTGTGGTCACAAAATTGGCTTGAATGGAGTAGACAACGGTGCTCTGAGATTCAGGTCAGTCAGAATTCCTCGGGATAATCTTCTAAATCGATTTGGAGATGTGTCAAGGGATGGAAAATACACAAGCAGCCTTCCATCAATTAATAAAAGATTTGCTGCCACACTGGGAGAACTTGTTGGTGGAAGAGTGGGGCTTGCACATGCTTCAGTTGGGGTTCTTAAACTTGCTGTAACTATTGCTACCCGCTATTCTCTTCTACGCCAGCAATTCGGTCCTCCCAAACAGCCTGAAATCAGTATTCTTGATTATCAGTCTCAGCAACAAAAACTTATGCCAATGTTGGCTTCGGCTTATGCATTCCATTTTGCAACACTACACCTAGTGGAGAAGTATTCTGATATGAAGAAGTCTCATGATGAAGAGTTGATTGGAGATGTCCATGCTCTCTCAGCCGGGCTTAAAGCTTATATCACTTCTTTTACTGCAAAGTCATTGAACACTTGCAGAGAAGCGTGTGGAGGTCATGGCTATGCTACTGTTAATCAATTTGGTAAGTTGAGGAATGATCATGACATATTTCAGACATTTGAAGGAGACAACACAGTTCTTCTACAGCAGGTATTAACTACTCCGTAGATGTTTTCCCCATTGATAGTAGAGCTTCATATATATAAAAAGAAATGGTTAAAAGAAAAAAAAAAAAAAAAAAAAAAAGAATTAACACCTTAAACTGCTCAATCATCTCTCCTATACAACAATTATGCCCCAAAAACATAGTGAAAGTGAATCATTCATATATTAAGTTCTTTTATTGGGTAGGTACAACCAATCCATTTTAACTGAAAATTTTCCATCACTATTGAAGCATGGAAACCATTAAAAACAATTCGATTCATACTTGCAAAAAACAATGTTCTGTTGCTTTTTCTACTATTTTGATAACGCATTAAGTTAATGGATTAGAACAAATCAACTCATTGATGGTCTATATTTTTTGGACTTATATTAATGGATACTTTTAAATCAAATTCTAATTCTATTAGACCAGAAGAATCCTCAAATTACTTAACAGTTTTACAGTTCTTGACAACAAACCCCTTATTCCTTGATTTTTAATATAAATTCATATAACTTTTTTCTGTTTGAATGTAGAGTGTTTTCAGTAATGCTTGATTTCTACTTGATAAAATAACATTATCTGTTCTGTGTGAATATGTAGCAAAAACTGTGCTAGTTACAGTTTACCTCGTATGGTCCCCCCATTACTTGGCTTAATGATTTTTCTTATTATCATAAAGATCATATAACAAAATATTTGTTCTAATTACCATTTAACTGTTTGAATTGTCTCATTACCCAGTTGGCAGGATTTCTTTTAAAGCAGTACGGAGAGAAGTTCCGAGGTGGGACACTCTCAGTCACATGGAACTATCTAAGACAATCAATGAAATCTTATCTCTCTCAGCCTAACCCAGTAACTTCTAGGTGGGAAGGTGAAGACCATTTGCGAGATCCTAACTTCCAGTTAGATGCTTTTAGGGTGAGCATTACCTAGTTTATCTAATAGACAACTTTTTGTTGCACAATACTGGTACTTTACAGTATACTTAACTTTTGCAGTATCGCACATCTCGGTTACTTCAAAGTGTTGCTATTCGACTTCAGAAGCACTCAAAGAATCTTGGGGGCTTTGGTGCTTGGAATAGATGCTTAAATCACCTCTTGACACTTGCAGAGTCCCACATTGAGTCCTTCATCCTTGAAATTTTTATTCAAGCTGTCAAAAGGTACTTCTTAATCACTTGTTAATATGATTTTTTTTTTTTCCTTTTTACCCCATTGAATGGTCAATTTTCTTTTTAAAAATATTTTGGTACATTTGATGGGGACGAGGAGATGGAATTCAAATCCAGACCTATTTTTTGAAAACGGTGTAGCTTGGTGTAGAACACCACCAAACTACACCCCTTATCCTTGTCAAGGATTGATCTAATTCTTGCTTTCAATGCAGTTGTCCCGATCCCAGTTCTCGTGCTGCTCTGAAACTTGTCTGCGACCTTTATGCTTTGAATCGAATCTGGAATGATATAGGAACTTACCGCAATGTAGACTATGTGGCTCCTAACAAAGCTAAGGTATTAGTATTTTTAAATTTACTTTGGAAAAAACTGCTTTGATCTGTATGTCTAATGGTATCCTAATCGTAATTTCTCTGAACTAGCTTCGGAGAACTGTGACCTACTTATGCAACCTATAAATTGTCAACATTTCCAGTGCTTTAATGACATGGACAGTTGATTATCACTACTTGCAAAACCCGCTCTGGTGGCACTTACCTAGTCACCTGTTATTTCTGGGACTTATTATTTCATGTAATTCCTAGATAGAAAACTTTAAGGAAAAAAAAAAAACTTGAGCAAACCCCCTTCTTCTCATGCATTACGGTCTAACTGTCTAAGGATATCTTGATTACTCAAATCAAGTAGTGTCAGAGTTCTCAAGGTTGATGACTATTACTTTGGTGATTCATCTCCATTATTGAGTCTGATCATGTTATGACCTTTCCAACTTGCAGGCAATTAACAAGTTAACTGAATATCTGTGCTTCCAAGTCAGAAATACAGCAAAGGACCTCGTTGATGCCTTTGACCTACCAGATTATGTTATACGGGCTCCAATTGCTTTGCAGGATTCGGAACAAGTTTACTTACAATACGCTCAATATGCCGGATTCTAGTTCCTGCACAAGGCAATAAACAACTTCATCTTCAGATAGGATAGTTTCAAATATACAACAGAAAATAAAAAGGGGGATGGGTCTGGGATCATCATTGATTTTGAATCTACAACTATTCTTTTTCCTGATAATAATTAATAAGCTTTTTCGTTTTGCATCTTGGCTAGCAAACATGTCTACTACATATTGGATGAAATGTATGATTGTTTTCAATAAAATCAAATGGACTTGAACAAGAAAACATGTTCTAAATGCTTTCATACGCTAAAGGATCTTGGGGGAGGCCTATAGTTCACATAAGTATTTCTGGCTGCATCACATTTCTGCCTCACATCTTCACACATTTTCAGAGAAGCCTCAGAAAACTTGTTCAGTCTATCCAGGACAATGGTCAAACTAGCATGCATGCGGCTTAAATTTGAGCACCTCTCGTGCTTCTTATCTCCTCCGTCTTTCTCCATGATTTCCTCATTGTTGCATTGTTGTTCCTCGTGGCGCTGTTCGCCTGAATGGCGCAGCTCATATAGAAATGCTCTGATGGCATCATTGAGTTCTCGAGATGGCAGAGACTGAATTCCAGCTGACCAATCACGACAAAGGGCGAAAATTGGCGGGGCTATCACACGACGAGGGGAAAAGGCTCTCCTGCTCTTTCTCTCTGGTGGTTGCAAGATGCAGTTCTGCAACCAACTGTTTAGAGCTTCTACATATGATGTCTGGCTGTTGATCCAATCAGCAAAGCTCAACCCGAAACACTCCACTTCATCCAGTAGCTGTGCCACGATCTGCTTTTGATCTTCTCCCCGGGGACTACTTCTACCCGATGCTGCCTTGCCATGGTATGCTAACGAGATCGTTATATATTGAGTGTGATGACATTCGAGCATCGATCTCCACATTCTGATCAACCTGCATTCACTCATGTTCATGGATGATTACTTGATAGAAAATGTTCAGTTTTTAGAAATCACAAACATAATCTCACCCCTGAATAAGCTCCAAAAGTTGAGGCAACAACTCTTCATCCCTCATTTTTTCAATCCGCTTTGATATTGAGTCTACTGCATAGAGTGCAACCCTGATTCGGGAATGTAGATCCTTCACCACTGCTCGGGTTTTGTCAATTACTTGGGAACTAAGATCTTTGGCGAATTGGTGTCTAAGCTGGACGCGCTTACGATCATATTCCCTCCTAATTAACTCAATTGCCTACAAAACGGCAAATATTCCAATATTATAGGGTAACATTTGTGATCCTTCATCAAGTAACAGGGAAAAGATACAGAAATGTGTCTCACACAATGGTGTATGTATTCTAGGTCAAAAACTTCAGCAATCACGGATAACTTCAGTTAGATGAATACAGAATAAATAGGAAAAAATTGCACGACAATGTACAGAAAAAAAAATAATAATAATAATAAAAAATTCCAGCATTCTATAAAAGTAACCTGACCACTATTTTATAAGCCATATGTCTGCTATAGTATAGTCCAGACGGAATCATTTCATCCACCAACATCTCTGGAGTGACCAACCATTATTCCTTTTCACCCATCAATTATCAAAAGAATAACACAACGAAAATGAGTAGGAGAAAGAAGGCTCAAAATTGCAGATTTTGGAAGAAACCTTTCCAGAAGTAAAGGTCAAAAAGTTCAGGTAATTTTTTCAAAATGCTTCTAGAGAGTGTTACTCCGAAGTATTGCTTAGCAAAATGCCCGTTTTTTGGTGTCAATCGGCTTGCACCACATCAATGGGGAGTTAAAACGAGTGAAAAAGGAGAAGTACCAAAAGTCTATACAGTAACCTGAATAAATCATTCTGAATTACTTGCAAATATGTCCTTTAAAGAGGGGCTATGCCTGTGTCATTGTTAAGTACTCACTTGTTGAGTGTTACATTGGAGGTTCAAAGTCCTGGAAACAACTTCTCTGATACAGAGGTAAGGCTAAATGCATATTACCACCTAAAAGTTTGGAGCTTTGCAAATTGAATCTGGTTGTATTATTACCCTTAAATGATTTTAGTTTATGTCCACGTTTATAGGATTTTATTGTGTCCTGGTCAGGAAATAAAATGAAGAAAATCTCATTATGTCCTCTACACTTTTTTCCTTCTTCTTCACTAGTGAGTTTCTCTAATTCAGCTAAATCACATCCTTTTTTCAATGCCAATCAATATTCAAGCCCTTGAGAGTTTTTAAGAATTTTCAACCTACAATGCTTGCTTGTCTACATCAAGAAGTTCCCGAAAAACATAGAAAATTTTTGCATTCCACAGTTGGAAACAGGATTCGAGTTAGTACCTTCACTTCATCATAAAGCTTCCTCTCCCATGCATATAATCTGTCGAGGGTCGATGAGTGGCTTCCAGCAATCATGCAAAAATCTTCAACAAAATCACTTCCACTGTCATCGTTGTCATCTTTTGCATTAAGAGGGTTCCTCGATGAAGATGACCTTGAAGATGTTGTCCGTTTCCAAGTAATGACCTTTGTCCCATGCCCCTGTTCCCCTTCTGTAACACGGAAAAGCTTCACCAGGTAAGTCAAAAACTAAACGGATTCATTAGTCGTGACAACACATGCGTTTTTAACAGAATTTCTGTCATGACATTAGAATAATCACCCAAGAAAGTCTTTCAATACACTATATAACTTTATTACCTACTTTTTTTGACCTTTCAAATGTACAGGCCTAATCTTTAAACCTTAGAACAAACAAGAATTTGTTGTGTGCCCGGGATAGGGAACGGATCCAAGGGCAATGTCCCAAAGATTCGGAGCACACAGAAGTGGAAACAGTCTTCCTAGACCTCCTTATAGTGACTGCTCTTCAGGAGCATCAAGAGGTCACTATGGAATAACAAGCCATCAAGTATACTGACAAACAAGTGCTACTCTGATAACAACTAAAGCTTTCCATTTATATTTATATGGTAATATGTTAAAAAATTACTCAAGAAAAATAAGACAAAGGCCTGCAAGTGTTTAATGAAGAAAATTAGTTCACTAGAATAAACTTGAGGCTGGGATTCACCACCCACCAGAAATGTTTGCAGTTCCTCTTCGGCAGCAAGCTCCACCAATGGAAGTCAAGTAGATTGAAGCCGACAATTTTCCTGAAAGAATAGATAAGATAAAAACAGGTTTATGGGAAGGCATTGGCAATGGGGTTGGAAAAAAGGGACCAAACATTGATTCACAACTAAAGTAAATACAATTTCTCAATGGAGGTTATGAAGTTGCTACCTTTAGCTTCTGAATACCCAACTCGGATTTTGCTAGCCTCGAGCATCCTGGAAACCTCTTTACCGGATTCTGATGCTCTAAAGAACTGGTTCTCGATGTCCTTTACACTAGAGAGGAAATCTTTAGCCCTATGTGTTATGAACTCCGAAGGATCCTCTCTTTCTGCATACATATCTTTCCCCACCAAAGACTTGTCACCCTTTGATCCAGATTGCTGCATACCAGATCTTTTTCCAAGTCCATTATGACTATTGCTTTTCGCCCCCTGGGGTGTAACTGGATGGGAATTATCCACTTCCAATTTACTATATTTGGGACTTCTAGTATCCGAATTAGGTGTCATGAATTCTTCTTGAACCATATCCCCATCGCCATTCATTTCCATATCATCAAAGTTCATACACCCATCATTATCCACTGCAAATCTAAAGCTCTCTGCATTACCAGCAGGATCGAAGAAATCCCAAGAAGAGCCAGACTCCAGAGGCGGAGGTGGCGGTGGGGGCATTCGAAACCCACCATCTTCAACATACATATTCTTGACTGGTGGAGTCACCTTAACAGTAACGGCCGAAGTGCCACCCGACTTCATGTAACTCAACCTAGCAGTAAGGGGTGACACAGGGCTTCCATTGAGAACCGGAGAATCTGAAGTCCCACCGGGAATGTGAAGCGGAGAGGCTGAAGGGTCAGTGGGGGGAGTGGATATAGAGGGCTCTATCAACACCTCAGCCTCAGCATACCTCCCAAGACCAATGCCTATATTTCTCAGAGATTGAACATATGAAACATGGGCAGCTGCTAATGCATATCTAGAATCTATGGCTTTTTTGATGAACCTCTTTCTCTCTTTGCACAATCTCAAAGCTTCACTCCTCTCACCTTTTGAGCTTGTTCCCCCCATTTCTCTCTAATTCTTCACTCAAAAATTCCCAATTTCATAAAGCTAAAAATTTCCAGCAGTTCCTCAGCACCCAAGCACAAATATTTCGATCCAAGCCCCACATCTACATGCATTACAGTCCAAAAAATAAAAAACAAAAACCGCAAAATACAGATTAAAATAAAGACAGCAAGCAAGCGCATATTTAACGAAATAAAAACTCCAAAAAGATCAAACCTTTTTTTTTTTTTTCCACTTTTCCCCAAACGCCAGTACATCAAGAAGAGCAACCAAGGGTCCCTACTCAGTTCCACAGGAAATATGCTAAACCCAAGGGAAATGGAGATGAAAACTGAAAAAGGCTTGGCAAATCAAGTAGTGACATTCGGGTCTTCTGGGATTTGAATCATCATCATTCGTCAATCCAACCCATTACCCATGCATTTCACTGGACCTTTTCAGGTTTTCACGCAAACCCAAACAAACAACCATCTCTTTTTTACTTATCAAATCACTCACAAATCAAATGATAACAAACAGAGCACTACCCTGCTGCATTGCAAAGAAAAGGCACACTCACACTGTGTGTGTGGATTTCTCTTGTTTTATTGATTGGCACTTTGGGCGGGCTTGTTTTGGGTTTTAGCGTGAGGATCATTGATAAGCGGGCTCTTTTTGGTCTACAAGCATTCATTCATGCTAAAAATGGGTGTCAGAGAAGCAGCCTTTTGATAGCATTACACAGTGTTGTATAGAATATACAGTCAGCGATAAATTAATATCTTGGGCAAATGTGTAGGTTACACTTTTACAAAAGTGCCCCCGTAACGGCTCCTTAAAATCCGGTTTCACTCCTCTCCTTCCTTTCACGTTATAGGAACCACCATTTCATTATCTAATCAAGATTAATAAGTTCTTCCAAAATTGGTAAATTGTCCATCTAAGGTTCAATAGCCCGTATTTAGAATAAGAGATCAATATTTGAATCTCAACAGTGATAGTATGAGATTATGTCCAAAATCGTCAAATTTCTTATGCGCAGTAATATTTGGCTCTACCTGTCGTCCTGTAGCGCCATTGAATCACGGTAACTTACATCCTTCCACATACTCTGACGGGTCGAGGATGAGGGCCTTTTGGTTGGAACTTTCGGGGGAAGGCTAAGTTGGTAAATTGTCCATCAATGGTTCAATAGAAGAAGAGATCAAGGTTTGAATTTCAGTGGTGGCAGTGTGAGATTATGCCCAAAGTCGTCAAATTTCTTGTGCACAGTAACATTTGGCTCTGCCTGCCGAGCCATTGAATCATGGTGATTTTCATCATCTCACATACACTGATGGGTCAGAGATGGAGGGCCTTTGGAAATTCAACCTTTCAGGGGAAGGTTAAGTTGGTAAATTTTATTTATGTTTAATAAATTATAAACCACATAATAGAAATAAATTTGAAAAAAAATTATACAAAAGATTCAATTAAAAAATGTGTTAGACAAGAAATCAAATTCGTAACATTTAAATATGATAATTATTCTAAACTTATTCTGACTATTCGTAATTTTTAAATACAAAAATCACGTTACATATTTATTGAGTTATATTTTGCCTTTTCACAGTAATAAATCAAGAAAATGATGTCAGTATTCAGTAATGTACCTTAGAAAAGAAAACAAAAATTTTGATTTTTTTAAGTTTTAGTTCAATGAATTCTTAATGTAAAATATAAAGTACTCCCTAAAAAAAGGGCCTAGGTGTAGTGCAATTTTATTCACAGCTTACATTTTATCCCAGTGATACCATAATTTTGAAAGTTTTCTTTAATTTTTTGATCATTAATTTATTGTATTTACTTCAACAATTTTTTTTTTTTTGATTTTTTATCATAACTTAAATAAGATTTTTTAAAGGAAAATAAGAAATTATTTAATTTAATATAAATGTTGTACTATTAATGTAATAGCAACCTGATTAAAAAGAAATATCACTTTTTTAAAAAAATGACAAAAGAATATGTTTTACAGGTTCATTATCTTCATCTTCAATATAAATTATAACTTGTTACCAGATATTTATTGTGCAGGCTTTACCATTTTTGCCCCTCTTTTAAATTAAGATCCTAATTAGTACATGATTGTTGGATCAATCGCTGCTGTCCAAAATCCATAATTCTATGATCCTATTTTGTCCACACGTTTGTATTTTAAAGGTATTTGCATGTGAATGCAACCCTATATATATATATATATATATATATATATATATATATATATGTGTGTGTGTGTGTGTGTGTGTGTGTGTGTGTGTGTGTGTTTATTTTATTTATTTATATGTATGAATGTATATCAATATTCAAATATTAGAAAACTAAATATATAAATATACACATGTATATTTTATTGTATTTATTATAATAATAATAATAATAATAATAATAATAATAATAATAATAATAATAATAATAATAATAAGAATGATTAGTTAACAAGGGTAAAGTTGGAATAATTTAAGGTAATCTAAGATTACCTAAGAAAATGGGGGTAATCACATTACCTTCAAACATTACCGCCACATCAGCTTTCAGGTAATATAATATTACCAGGTAATCTTATAACTTGAACCAAACAAGGTATTATAACTTGAACCAAACAAGGTAATATAACATTACCAGACTCAGATTACCTAGGTAATCAAAGATGACTTGAACCAAACGCCCCTAAGGGATTTATTCCTTTATCCTAGCCCAATTCTATTTGAAATCAATATTTCTTACCCTTTATAATTTGAGGGCCCAATTCCTAAGGGATTTATTCCTTTATCCTAGCCCAATTCTATTTGAAATCAATATTTCTTACCCTTTATAATTTGAGGGCCCAATTCCTCCTATGAATTCTTATAAAGTATTTAGGGATCGTTTACTTCATTTCTCTGAAGATGAGGCGCTGAGCCGCTAACATGAAACTGAAGAAGCAAAAGTAACTCCTCTCCCAGCAAGAATTGAATAGCTGACCTCACACAATAAGTACTGTTTACGCGTGCTTTTTCCATCCTTTCATTTGGAGAAACCTAAAATGGGGTTCTCCATATTTGTACATGAAGTTGGAGAATAGAGAGGAAATAGACAATTGGAGAAATGATTTTAGTAAATAACTTCTCCAATTTTTATTTTTTCCACTTCTCAATTTTTCAATTTTTCTATTTTTCTAGAAAATCCTCCATTTTTCCAAGTTGGTAAACGACCCCTTAAGTTCTCAAAAGACCCATTTAATTATGGACTACTATATTTTTGTATTAATATCATTATCTAGCCTTATAACTCAATCTCTACAATGTGAATAATTATTAAATGACCCATATGGTATGAAGCCCAACCCAATTTTATATCTATAACCTAATATACATATAACTCTTTGTATATAATATTTTACCCTATCCACTCGTAAAATGTCTTGATCATTTCACTTGGCTTTCTCCCCACTCCATTCACACTTTCACGCCATTTCCCATCCCCAACCATTAAAAAACTTCCATCATCTTCTTCAAGAGGAATTTCTTCTAGTTTTATCTTGAAACCATTTTCATTTACAAGACTTGGTAAGAACCTTCTTCCTTTCTCATTTCCTTTCATTATTTCAATATCTCTACTGCACATGTTTATTCTCTTTTTGGAGTTTTGGATTTGTAGAAGATCAAGGTAAATATGAGCTTCTAGGGTGAGATTGTTTGGAGATTTGAGGTGGTTTGCTAGCATTAGAGGTAAACTTCATGTCCAACAACCCTATTTTCATTCCAATATGATTCTAAAAGCATTCTTGAATCCCTTAAGAATATCTTGCTGTCATTCTTGAGTTCTTGTCTGCTTTGGATGTGTTATTGTGTTGTTTATTGAGTTATATCCTTCACTCTTGAACCATTTGTTAATTGGTAGTATCTTATTCTTGTTTGTAGAATATAGAGATACCTTATCTCTTTTTCTCCATTAGTCACATCTGACAAAGAGGAGAAAGCTTCTTCTCTCTTTTTCTCCCTCCACGCATAAATACATGGGAGGGAGAAAATGAGAAAAGTTGTGCTAGTTCTTTCATTTAAGTGCGATTATAATATACAATAATAATATATTATTATTTATTAATAGTTGTGGATGTGAGACCATTTCACCTTAGACCTACTGACCCGTCCATGCTAGAACTCATACCAAGGTGATATGAACCTAATCCAAGATTCAAATAAGATGGAGTATTGTCCCAAGAATGCTCTCAAAGTAAAGATAGAGATGGATCAAAATACCTTAAATCTCACGAGAAACCCTTTGTCTCGAATCCTCAAAGACTAGGAAGAATCCCATGTAGCTTCAAGTACCTTGATGTTGCAATCTTCAATCAACTAGAGTCGGATCTAGTTTCCTTCGATTCAAGAACGAGTCCACGAACCTAAATCTAAGGTTGAAGAAAGTAAGATTGATTCGAGTCCACGAATCAATTTGCTAGTCGAGTCCACGACTAGCAACTAATTGAGCCCACAATTAGCCATAAGGTTTCTTACACAAGTGTAAAGAAAAACTTAAGAATTTTATTGAATTGAAGACTGATCAAAACTGATATGGATGTGCCATATTTATAGGTATAGGGCCAGCATTATAATTCTAAATACAATGGGAAAAAGAGTCCTAAACCTAATCTAGAAACAAGTAAATAGAGTTTTATTTAGAAAGGGATTTAAGGAATCCTTTCTAAATACAAACTAGTATTTTCTCTTTTATGCCAAACAATTTAAATTAATGATGATAAAAAATAATAGGGCTGATTTGGGCCTAATTTAATCACCAAAATCAGCACTTAAACAATTATAAAAAGCCTTGAGTTCTTCGCCATCACTAGCAATTGGACTAGAATTGGATTTCCACCATTTTTGAACATAACCAATGAAGAGTTGTCTTAATTGTTTGGACTTAGACCTTGTGATTGGCCCAACTGGTACTCTTAATGGATCTTCAGTAGTTTGGGTTGCATTATCCTCCCCTTCTTGAAAATGATTCGTCCTCGAATCTGTGCATTCAAATGGAGACAAGTCTGAAACATTGAAAGTAGAAGAGACATTGTATTCTCCTCTAAGATCAACCTTATAAGCGTTATCTCCAATCCGTGATATAACTTGAAATGGGCCATCTCCACGTTGGTTCAACTTTGACTTTCTTTCGCGGGGAAAACGGTCTTTGCGCAAGTGAATCCACACCCAATCTTCAGGCTCGAATGTGATCTTTTTCCTTGTCTTGTTCACTCGAGCAGCTATTTGTTCGTTCATTTTCTCAATTTGTTCTTTGACTTTAACATGCATCTCCTTGATCTTCTTGGCACATTCTTCTCCATCTAAGCTATCCTGCGGATTGTAAGGCAAAGCAAGTAAGTTTATGGGCGATAACGGATTGAAACCATACACAACTTCAAAAGGAGACATGTTAGTGGTTGAATGTATTGCACCATTATAAGCGAATTCAACATGAGGCAAACATTCTTCCCATGATTTTAGATTTTTAGAGATCACACTTCTAAGTAATTGGGATAAGGTTCTATTAACTACTTCTGTTTGTCCATCAGTTTGAGGATGACAAGTAGTAGAAAATAGCAACTTAGTCTCAATTTTAGCCCACAGAACACGCCAAAAGTGGCTAAGAAATTTAGAATCTCTATCAGAAACAATAGTCTTAGGGATGCCATGCAATTTAACCATCTCAGCAAAGAAAAGATTAGCAATATGAGTTGCAT